GCTCTTTACTGAGACAATCAGAGAGGACATAAAGAAATGGCTAAAGCTCTGCACAATCAACACACCATCGCTAAATAAATGAATAAATAAAAATAAATAAGGTTTCGAGCTTGTGGAGCCGTGCGCTCTCTTGTCTGTGTGCCTTGTTACATGTGCGGGGCGCGGTGTTCGGGTCGCGGGGCGCGGTGTTCGGATCCCGGCACGTCAGTCTAGTTAGGCTTCAGTTCTGTGTCGGGATTCGGACATTCATGCTCCGCGTGTTTTGTCGTGTGAGCGTGCGGTTTCGAGTTCGCTCGGCCGTATGCTCTTCTGTCCACGTGTGTTGTGTTCTGTGTAGGACGTGGTTCGTGTTTTACATCGGCCGCCTGCTTCCTTGCCATGTTTGGTGTGAGCACATGGCACAAGGAAACATGACAAGCCATGTGCTCACCTGTCGATTGTCTGACCCTGCCCTTTTTGTTCCCTAATTATTGGTTTATTTGCCCCACATCCTCCCTCATTACCTGCCTCGTTAGCTCCCTATTTATTCTCCTTGTGTTTGCAGTCGTATGTCTACCCTTGTTTGTTCCTCCTATAGTCAAGTCAAGTCAAAGTCAAAGTAGAGTCAAAGTCAAGTCAAGTCAAGTCAAAGTCAAGTCAAAGTCAAGTCAAAGTCAAGTCAAGTCAAGTCTAGTCAAAGTCAAAGTAGAGTCAAAGTCAAGTCAAGTCAAAGTCCAGTCAAGGTCAAGTCAAGTCAAGTCAAGTCAAGTCAAGTCAAGTCAAGTCAAGTCAAGTCAAAGTCAAGTCAAGTCAAAGTAGAGTCAAAGTCAAGTCAAGTCAAAGTAGAGTCAAAGTCAAGTCAAGTCAAAGTAGAGTCAAAGTCAAAGTCAAGTCAAGTCAAGGTCAAGTCAAGTCAAAGTAGAGTCAAAGTGGAGTCAAAGTCAAGTCAAAGTAGAGTCAAAGTCCAGTCAAGGTCAAGTCAAGGTCAAGTAGGGCTGTTGGAACGAATTCCAAAATTCGAATATAATTCGAATATTAAAAAAATCAATACTATTCGAATGCTGAAGTTACTATTCGAATATTTATTTTTTTATATGCAATCTTGTCTTTCTCACCACCTTCTTGGCTTACACGCATGTGAAAATGAAATGCTTTTGTTTCGTCTGATGAACAATAAAGTTTTTGAATCGTAACACAATTGTGCACGTTATACACGTTGATCGTAACAATACGGTCAAAAATGGTAAATGTTTAACGACGTAAAAAAGCGCCCGTGAAGCGCAAATATCTTGACGAAAACTCAACGGATTCGGTGAGCACCAAACTCGTTGGAACCGTCTAGTCGAACTGAAAAGAACGATATAAATGTCAGAATTTTTGGTGGTGTTTTCGCGGAGATATTAGCCGAAAACCATCGGAAGCGCTTCAACCATATTCAGCACGAATAAAATGTTTATTGTAATGTTAGATGTCCCTCTAGTGGACAGAACGTGTAACAACAACCACATGCTATAGTGGCATTGGCGTTCCATAAGCCTGAGTAATGTCGTAAATATTAATAATAGGATGAATTTGAGCATTTAATATTCGAATATTATTCGAATATTAAATAAAACAAGGAATGGAATTCGAATAGTATTATAGAGGAAGATTGACAGCCCTAAGGTCAAGTCAAGTCAAGGTCAAGTCAAGTCAAGTCAAAGTAGAGTCAAAGTCCAGTCAAGGTCAAGTCAAGTCAAAGTAGAGTCAAAGTCCAGTCAAGGTCAAGTCAAGTCAAGTCAAAGTAGAGTCAAAGTCAAGTCAAGTCAAAGTAGAGTCAAAGTCAAGTCAAGTCAAGGTCAAGTCAAGTCAAAGTAGAGTCAAAGTGGAGTCAAAGTCAAGTCAAAGTCCAGTCAAGGTCAAGTCAAGGTCAAGTCAAGTCAAGTCAAGTCAAGTCAAGTCAAGTCAAGGTCAAGTCAAGTCAAGTCAAAGTAGAGTCAAAGTGAAGTCAAAGTAGAGTCAAAGTAGAGTCAAAGTAAAGTCAAGGTCAAGTCAAGGTCAAGTCAAGGTCAACGTTGAGTCAAAGTAAAGTCAAAGTCAAGTCAAGTCAAGGTCAAGGTCAAGTCAAGTCAAAGTAGAGTCAAAGTCAAGTCAGGTCTTCCCCCTCAGGGTAGTTTTGTTTGTATTTTGTTTTATTTTATTATCATCATTAAAAGCCCATCACTCTGCACCTGAGACCTCGCTACTTTCACCACCCCCATACCCGACTGTGTGTGTGTGTGTGTGTGTGTGTGTGTGTGTGTGTGTGTGTGTGTGTGTGTGTGTGTGTGTGTGTGTGTGTGTGTGTGTGTGTGTGTGTGTGTGTGTGTGTGTGTGTGTGTGTGTGTGAGTGAGTGAGTGAGTGAGTGAGTGAGTGAGTGAGTGAGTTTGTGCCCTGCAGTAGAACAACAGCGATACATAAAATTCCATTTCAACAGTCATCAATCTCAGTCTGTGCGTACAGGCACTCTGAAGAAACAGAGAGGCACTCAGAGAGAGAGAGAGAGGGAGAGGGAGACAGAGAGAGAGAGAGAGAGAGCAAGCTAATGGAGGAGTGAGAGTGAACGCGAGATACTTGATACGCCTTGAGTGAGTGTATGAGAGCCATTACACACTATTACAGACATACACAGACTGACTGTGTGTGTGTGTGTGTGTGTGTGTGTGTGTGTGTGTGTGTGTGTGTGTGTGTGTGTGTGTGTGTGTGTGTGTGTGTGTGTGTGTGTGCGTGTGTGTGAGTGTGTGTGTGTCATGTTTTATCTTCATTGTGAGGAGCAAATGTCCCCACAATTAAGGAAAGTAAAAGCTGAATTCAGCTACATTGAGCAGAGAGCAGCTGGAAAACTGCTGAATGAACAGACTAATAGAGTCTCACAGGGTGCAGTGTCCCTCTGCCTCTCTGACGGAGCTGCTGATACAACACAACCCCCAAAGAGAGATTTGATCTTTGATATTTGATCGCAGACTATCACAATGATGTCGAAGCATGTCAAACAGCGCTGCCTAATACAGTACTAGTAAACACACACACACAGGTGTAGACTCTTAAGGCACCATCCTGAACAGAGTGACCGTTCTTAAAGAGACAGTGTCCTTTTTAATCCTCTGAAGCCCACTGCGTCATATTTGATATGCAAAGTGCCTCTAAATGATCAACATGATCAAAACTTTGCTGACAAACCCGTTGCACACAATCTAAGACATGTCTTCTGTCATCTGATGGATAGGTTGTTTTTTTTTTAAGAAGAAAAGGCCTTTTCGTATAATTATATAAAAAAAAAACGTCTTCGTGGTTAATGTGTTTTTTGCTGTGAAATCTTAACTGATTTTTTTTAAGTAAATGTAAGAATAACTTTCATTTGTTCGTAATATTTCATGATGTACACTTACCGATTGAAGCCACTAAGGTTTACTTGATTATCGAGACTTGATTATCGAGACATACGCTTTTAGAAAAAATCATGTTCAGATCTTCAGGATTCTGAGGAAGGTTTATTAGTTCATCTGTCAATCATCATCGTATTGCATTGCTTTATATGTTTTAAAACGACAGAGCTATGACATCATAAACCTAAACATTTTAAATATCATCTTACTAAGACATATTAGTGGCAGATATTGACTGATATTTATATGCATTTTAGGTATAAAGATCTTGTTGATTTACATTACAGTCAGAATTTCATCTTACTTTCTAGCCATATTATTATTATCTGCACCAAATTGCATATTTTTGCTCAGTTTGTGCCTCTGAATAAAACTGAAGTGTGTTTTTTTATATATATATGTCAGGCTTTACAGGGTTTTACAGGCAGGACTGACCTTTGCAATACACAATACAATACAATACAGTGTTGTATGGTTTGTATTTGTATATATTTGTTGCGTTTCTTGTGGACTGTTGATTTTTAAATCTGTTGTTCACAGTATTTTCTCCCAACTGACATCTTTAGAATTCCAATCTGGTTTGAATTGTTTTAAATATTTGAGTGAAACATTCTAATTTAGAATTCCTGCATTCTAATTTTTACCTTTTTTTATTACTCACCTGCACCTAGATATATTTTATTTCATATTTTGTCTACAGGTACAAAAAATAATTTTTCTGACTATTATTTCCATATGTCAAGCTTTACAAGGTAACATACACTTCATTATTAGAGGTCTGACATCAACCTTTACATCTTTCTACTTGGACTAAAACCTCAGAAGTTGTGAGAAAGCTTTCAATGTGTGTTTCAATGATTCACCAATGCATTCAAATGATCAACAAGTATTCAAAAATGTGAGTCCAAAAAAATTGCAGGCCTTTGTGACTAATAACACCAGCCTCAACAGAGTAAAATGTTGTTCGTTTTGAGTCAAACAACATAATTTGTGGCTCAGATATGAAACACCATAATATACACGCTATTTGCATGAAAATATCATATTAAATCAGACGCATTTATCACAACATTGACTAACATGTTAAACTCGCTGCATTAATGAGGTCATTCAGTTAGTGTGTCACCAGCTGCAGATAAACAATGACATCAGCGACATCTTCATGTGTAGTAAAATCGCATTTAAAACAGATTTTTAAAAACATTTCACCTTTTAGTGCGACGAAACATGTCGCCCTGCATGATCAAGAGCTCAAAGCAGACGCAGACGCTCGGAAATAACCAGTGCGCATCACAAACAGCATCAGATGGAGAGCGGTTAGAGCGTCTGGCTTTGCTCACACACTGGAAAACAGAGTCCAGGGGGGAATTCTGGGTAAAATCTCGAGGGCAGCGGATGATACCAAGGCGAGCGTTAAAAGAGGGGGGGCAGGTGTGGTGCATCCGTTCATAAGATGCTACTGAGTGAGTGTGTGTGTGTGTGTGTTTCTAAAATTAAGTGCAATATGCTTTTTCCCGGAGGTCACGGTGGATTATACAACTAAGAATCACGAGAAAAAAAAATCATGAATAAGGGAAAGCTTTTAGAGAAATGGACAGAGAGAGAAAAAGACAAAGTAAGACAGGTTGAGTTTGTACTGCACACAAATAAACCCTCATGAAAATGATCATGGAAGCCTTTAATATACCAATGTACAGTTATGTTTCCATCCAGTGTTGTTTTATGCGATAACCTGACTATTTGCATACAAATTTGCATAAAAATAGGCGGATGGAAACATAACTGTACATTGGTATATTAGAGGTTACCATGGTAATTTTTCATAAGGATTCATTTTGTAAAACGCCAAAATGTGCATATATTCTACAAAAAAGTATGCAGATAAACTATTATGAGAACACATCTAATGAACAAATCCAAAGACTATATATACTAAACACACTTCACTCATATTACTATGAATGGGAGAAATGCAACAACGCTCAAAATGGCGGAATAAGTCCCGCCTTCTAAAAAAAAAGAGCCAATCGCCAATTGGCAAAGTCATCACATCATGTGATTGGATAACTGGACAAACCAGTGGACCAATCGCACTGCACAGCATCTCAAATGTCTCAAAGTTTGTCATCAGAATGAACTGGTTTAATAATTCCTTCTGAGAAGCGTCTCACATGATCGCATTCCCAAACGCCAGGCACCCGAGCGCAAAAGAAGAAAAAAGAGGAAAAAAGAGCAGCAACTTCTATTTTTATTACAGATATTTTTCACCAATTTCCCTGGAAGTATCAATTCTGTTCTCTTGAACAAATGACATGGATATGGTGCTTTATTCACAATTGTTTTATTTGCACACAAGTTAAATTTGCAACTCTGGATGTAAACATGGGACTCATGTAAACATAAACTGATCCATATGTACAGCACTTTGGTCAGCGGAAGTTGTTTTTAAATGTGCTTTATAAATAAATCTGACTTGACTTGACTTGACTCAAGTTACTCAACTGTTATGGGATTTTCAACACAAACCCTGATACATGCATGTAATCCGAATAAAAATATGCATAAGAATCATTTATCTTCTTCTTATCATTGAAGATGGACTCACCTGCTGTTCTTACGGGGCAGGGGAAGATCCTTCTGGGACGAAGACGACGAGAAGGAGACGGAGAAACACACAGAGAGAAGACAGAGATCAGTCAGGAGTTTGAAATAAACACACTATCTCAGACACACTTATAATGTCATTAAATTCCATACAAAACACCAGAATTAGCATAAGAAAGAGGCATGTATAACACTTTACACTAACACTTTACAATAAGGTCTCATTTGTTACCATGAAACCTTATTTTAAAGTGTTATCGAAAGTTGATATATCATAAGAATCGTGAACTAACAAAAAGCAATAAATTTTTTCAGCGTTTATTAATCTTAGCGTTAACAACGCTACATTTACAAGTAAAACACTTGACAAAACTAAACTTGTTGGGTTTAAATAATAAAACAAAAGATCTAGTGTTTAAAATAAAGGCAGAAACTATTTCATATGTTTAAAGTAAGGTGTGTGAATGTCACCAAATTTGTATTTGAAAGGTTTTGTCTCATTATTCGAAAACTGTAAATGAAACCGTCTGTTCGGTTTGTGTGGACAAAACACTGAAACAAACAAACTCAACACACTTGGCATGTACAGAGAGAAGCTGATGCTGTTCTGGCAGCGTTCCCGTCCTTCATTTCTCTCGCTGTGTCTGTGATTGAACCACATAATATCCTCTCGTTCATCTTCCTGACAGACTCTGTGTCTCTCTCTGCAGAACTTCAGCAGATGCTCATTCAGACCCAGAGAAACCACTCGCCGCTCATGTTAAACTGATCCGAACCTCAAAACAGATCCAGAAATACTCTTTACTTTCTTAATTCATGTTCCTGGTCTTATTGTGATTGATTTGTCACCAAACCATGGAAGCTTGTTTACGCCAGGAAGTAACAAAAATTAAAAAGGTGATTGCAAATTGAGATAAAACTTCGAATTTAGACTTTTTTAACCTTGCAAATCCAATTTCTTAATTCGCGATTACTCTTTCGCAGAATTGTAAGATATAAACATGGTATTCTGGCTTTTTTAACCTCCAAATTCCAAGATTATAACTCCCAATGATTTTGTTTCTCAGAATTGTCAGATATAAACTCAGAATTGGGAATTACAAAGTCCAAATTGTGAGATCTAAACTTGCAAATGCAAGACAAAAGTCAGAATTGTGAGATTAAAAAGTCGCAATTACCTTTTTATTTTTCATTCTGTGGCGGAAACAACCATCCATAGCAAGCAAACACACAATTTCAGCATAAAAGCTTTTGCTGAGCACAGGCCGCTGTCACCTTTAGCCAACTATATTAAAATAAATATAACATTTATGCATGTTATGTTACTCAACAAATAAAGCTTGCAGCAGCTTTAATCAACAAACATTATAAGCATCAATTGATATTGATCACTAATCAATAGGAGCGCTCAGATGTCCTTGGTCACGCGCGCGCGTGTGTGTGTGTGCGTGTGTGTGCGCGTGTGTGTGTCTGTGTGTGTGTGCTTTCAGAATTGAAACCAGTCAAGATCATGTCCAGGTATTTCACCACAGCAGAAAACAAGACCTCTCTTTTCCCTCCACCTCCCCAGCTCCACCTGCCTAGATCTGATACAGAGTTTATGTAGGCTATGTCTGTGTATCTATCTATTAACAGTAGTAAGTCTATAATTGCTCTGCAGAAACAGCAATAATCAACAGCAGAAGCAGCAGCATGGCAGATCTAGTCTGCCACCAAATGCATTAACATTGCCATATGTAATAATAACATGTTAAATGTTGTCATGTTGCTAATTGAACTATATATACATGGTCGTAGAATTGTGTTTTTTCCCCTAGAAACATAAGAAGCAAAAAGCTTTTAAGTTAAAAGTGTGTTTTGAGGCGAACAATTACCTAGAGATGTTGTCTTGAGATTCACCTGATACAAAAAATATTAAAAACATAAACAGATTTTGCGAACAGCTATAAAAAAAAAAATAAAAAATCTAAATGCTTCAGAAGGTTTTCGCATATTAAAGCTCAGCAGGGCTGAGAGTGGCCTTCAACATCTTCCTTTATGACAATAAGAAAGGAAAAGTCTGTTTCATAAGTGCTGTATTTTTAGCATTATTATTCAGCAACAGAAGATGCTAATTTTGCATCGACTGACTGATCAAAAGCCGCATCACTGCGCTCTAGTCTGCTTCCATGTTTCTTATTGATCATCAATAAAAGTGTGTGTTTCCGTGACAACGCAGGCCCTGGTAAAGTGTGCCGGTGTGCTGCTGACATGATAACATCGGGTCACCCTGTGAATAATCCCTCCAGAGGCTCTTAAACGCTGCGGCTCTGGCTCCATCTCTATCGACTGTGGTGAAACGCTCTCTGGCTGACCCCACGGGTCAATTATACTGTAAATACCATGAGAGATCACGACCCCACGAGTATTACAGCACGCATGTCAAAACATACACTCGCACTGGACTGATCTTTAGCTGAATTACATATTTCCTTGCGTCGGTCTGGTGCTTTTAAAGTGCTTTCTACAGTAAGTACCATAAAACCAAAATGGCAAAATCATGTTTTCCAAATATTATTGTTGTCATGACAACTCAAGTGTTTGGTCAGGTAATGGAAATGACAACGTTGATATGTTTAATCTTGGAGAAATATATCTGGTACACTGTTTTTGCTGCCGCTGTTGATATTCATTTATCTTTCCTATTAACGTTGTACAGTAAATAGTTTTGTCAACACAGACTGAATTAAGTCTAATAAAATTAATTTTATGATGATGCCAAAACATCTGTCAATGAAAACATGTATTCCTTTTCAACATTATAAATGTATGAGACGTTCTCTTCGTTAAATTACCCTTCCACGTAAAGCAACAGAAGGCTGCGGTTCGAATGGGGCGGTTCTTACGCCTACGTCCAGCTTGACCTTCCCAACGTGATTACGTAATGCCTGGTGCGTCGCAGACCAGCACAAGACGAACAATTGTGGTTAAAAAGTATATAAATGTTTATTCTTTTTAGAAAATGACGGATCGTTTCGCTAGATAATACCCTGGGATCGTGCAGAGCCGTGTGAAGCTCTTCAAAGCCCTTTGAAACTGCATTGATTTGGACTTCAACAATTTGGTTACCGTTAAAGTCCATTGTCTGGAGAAAAACCCTGAAATGTTTTCCTCAACCAACTTAATTTCTTTTCAACTGAAGAAAGAAAGACATGAACATCTTGGAAGGCATTGGGGTGAGTAAATTATCAGGAAATTTTCATTTTGAGGTGAAGTAATCCGTTAAATTACCCTTCCACGTTAAGCAACAGAAGGCTGGAGCTCAGCTCTTGTTGTTCTGAAGAAAGACGTGGCACTCGTGCCGTCTGTTTGTTTCACTGTGACTCACGTGTTTAATTTTAGCCAGTAATTGAGTTTTCCGTCCTTAAATGCTGTAAAAGCTTCCCAGAAACCCTGCCTGTGGAGAAGAGTAGCTCGGCGAACTGGAGTGGACAGATGGAGCCGGACGAGAGCAAACTCTGAGCAGAGATCAGCCGAGCAAAGCACTTCAGATGCTGTAATGGAGAGCGAGCCTGAAGCCTGAGAGCCGCTTTACAATATTATACAGTTAGAAAAGATTAGACAGGGCTTTTAAGCTAATTATCGCAATTAATTATCACTATCACTATATGTAATGCTTTAAGTCAAGTCAAGTCACCTTCCTTTATATAGCACTTTTAACAATATAGATTGCTTTAGCTTTATACTTTCTAAATGTGTAACAATTAATATGTATTATAACCTTGTTTACAATAAGTCATTAGACCATAATGGTGCATTAAAGACATAATTAATGCATTAAAAAATACTTTTATAATGCATTACACATAAAGTCTTTAAGTAAAGTGTTACCAATAATTTTAACATTTCAGAAGATGGTTAAAATATGATTATTATGAACTCAATGAGCAATGACTAATGACTCCAGCTCATTTCCTGCTCTTTGTGTAAATTATTATAATTAATAAAGTTGTTTGAAATTGTTTGTCCGGTAGATTTACAAGAGACTGATGAGCCGTTTTACAGAAATACTTCTTTAAATTACAACATAGTTTTATCATTTGTAAAAGTTAGAGTTTAAAAAGTTTGTAGAAATTAAAACAATTGAAGGATATTTTTTTAAAGAAGCACAAAAATGCTGATAAACTGGAATACCAAAAACTGTAAAAAGGTTTCATCACTATGTTAACTTCAACATTTAATAATACATTTTTAATATCAAAAGCTGCTCGAATGAACTAACATGAACAGATGATGAACACGTGTATTTTTATTAAATAACTAACATTAACAAATAAGATTAATAAATGCTGTAAAACATTTATTGCTTATTTTTAGTTCATGTTTCTTATTATTTCTTATGAACTTGCGTTAACACTTTACAATAAGCCTTAATTTGTTAACATTAGTTAATTACATCAGTTTACATTAACTAACAATGAACAGAGCCCAGAGGCCGTCTGATTGACTCGCAAAGCGACCAATCACAGCTCGTTTTGTTCCACGTCATGTTTAGGGGTGTGAAAATGTAACGTCGAAGTCCCTACAATAACAGACCGGAGTGTAAAACTCTTGGACGTATTTTAAAGAGTCCATGCCACAAACTTAACATACTTCACATACTTTTAAAAATCCAGCGTTTAGTTGATCCTAATAAGCGCTCATTGTCACAGTTGTAAACACAACCGTTTTCTTTTTCCATGAGGGGGTTTGGCTTCACGACTGCTTGGTTTCCAGGCGGACCGTTAAAGAAAGCCACACACACGTCTCCCGGAAATCCTGTAGAGTTCAACCAATCAGACGGCGACTTCCTCACCAAAATCCTGAAGTGTTTTCAGTTAAGTGTGCCATATGCATTAGATGTTTAGAGACTAATGCACCAATAACTAATGTTAACAAAGGAGACCTTATTGTAAAGTGTTACTGAAATTTCATATTCATATTTTGACAAACATGTACATACCAAGCGGCAACATTCTAATCTGAAAAATGAAGCCTACCCGGAAGTGCGAAAAACTGCAATACATCTAAAATCCTCTAGGGGCAGGTCCCAAAAGGGAGCAAATATCCATAGACCCCATGTTAAAATGTCCGTTTTCACCGCATAAATTCATGTTTTTTCAGGTTGGTCCCATGGACTTTTATAGTATTTTTCGATAGGTTCCGAGTGCCTGACAACTGTGAGGGGGGTGAATTTTTTTCTAACTCGTTAGTTTAGATCGTATTTAGATAGAAAATGTATGACAAATAACGGCGTGGTTAACTTTGATTGACAGCTTGATTGACAGCTGATAACGGGCTGTGCCGAGTGGAATTCCTGAAATTTGACGTCTCGGCCATGATCTGACACAACACATCATACCACCTCTGTATCCTTTCTGAAAAGATTTTCCAAGATGGCGCCGCCCACCCCCCATAAATGCCCTCAAAACTGTTCTTCAGAAAGTCTATGGGTGACGTCACAAACGCTTTGCCCATATTTTTAACAGTCTATGGTACATACTTGCGCTTTAAACCAGTCAGATGGTAAAATGGGTGAAACAGACTATACAGAAAAACAGACTTATACTGAAGAAGAGATGGTAACGCTTCCTTTTACAGTCCTGTTACCCATGTACTTACTATGTACTTATTATAGTAATTATAACTACTGTACTGGGTAATAACTAGGTACTAACCCTGAACCTACCCCTAACCCATGTACTTACCTTATATTAGCCAGTACTTTCTAGGTAAGTACACTGAAATTTGAGTCATATTAACAGACCATAATAACCCAACCACCCAGAATCCCCCAAGAAACCACTAATCCTAATCAACATCCTAACAACTAGGCTATATTAAGCACCACTTGTCAAAATCTACTTATTATCTACATACTGTTTTATATTTCTCTTTTTAACATGAGTTGAATAGAGTCTGATCATCAGATGATCCGGCTGAATGACGACGAGCTGTAAAGCAGTCTGAGCTTTAATGAAATGGCACAAGCTGGGCCTCCTGCCCGCCGTTTGGTGCAAACCCATCATTTACCGTGCCAACCCCATAATCTGAGCGTCATTAACCTAAGAGCGTCTCACGCGTGTGCCAGCCGACAGCACGCAAAACAGCCCGAGAGTTATCGCTGCGCCTTCTGCCGGGGTTTTCGGGATTTCCTCCAACTATTTTTCCTAATGGCTCTCTGCATCAGGAGAAAATGTGCATCAGATGCCTTCAGTGATTAACCGAGAGAGCGGCCAGACTCACGGAAATCTGCTGGGGTCTGCGACAAAGCAAAGACGGGGTCTCGAGGGTCGACTTCAGGAGCCAACACGAGGACGGACGCGGTCAAGCTCCCCAAATGGTGGAAAAACATATAAAAATACCGTTAATTTGGTCTTAGGAAAGTCACGTTGAAAAAAAAGTTGTACTAAGTTTTTAATGAAAATATTTGTGAATTTTTTGGGGGGATTCATTCATTTAAAAGATTAAAATAAATAAAGTTTTTATGAGAAACCAGCAGATTTACATAAGTCTGATTAACCGTTTTATAGAAATACTCCCTTAAATTACAACAAATATATTAATATTAATATTAATATTAATAACAAAAATATTAATTTATCAAAGCTATCGAGTTTAAAAAGTTGTATTGTGGAAATTTTATTTAAAGAGGGATATACTTGTAAATTAGCGCAAAAATACTGGTAAAGATCGTAGGCTATAGAAACTAAGGGAACAAGGGTAAGATACGGATATTTCGGTAAATTTACAATAAGGTTTCATTTGTTAACATTAGTCAAGTAAATCAGTAATTAAATCAGTTAACATTAAAAACATTTCTACAGCAATATGTCTAGAGCAATTCAGTGTCCACAGCTTGTTAGTTGCTAGAGAAATAACTCTATATACGCACTACATTAAAAACTCAGCATATTTTGACTTATACCTGTTAGTGACATCTTCATTATTTGATGCAATAATGGCGAGTTCAAGTCATGTCGGAAAGTTCGTATTTACGAGTCGAACGCATACGCATCACAAAGTTTTAAATACGAGCGGGAAGCTGAAGTTGGGAAATACTATGTATGGAAAACCACAATATATATGGCAATATATTTGTGACATTGTGACCCTTTTATATTTACAACAAAATAAGCTAATTTCCTGCACATATATAATAGCATTGTAACAATAATAACATAACATAACATGTAAAGTTTAGTGGATTCATAAATGAAAAAGCAAAACACACCTGATGCACATTCTCTGTTCTTCATTTTCTAGTATAGAGTTAAAAATCTTGCTGTATTTTTGTGTAGTTAATTAAGAGACGGTACATCGCCAATCTTACTCCGACGAAAGTGACTTGAACATTTGAAGATTTGAATAAATCTGTCATTAAAATGATTTCAGCCACCATTTAAATATCTATATTTCAACAACAAATTGGGAGTAGAAACATATGTTATTAAAAAGTTGATATAAAAACGGCAATTTAAATGTTTGTAAAATAAACTTATTTGAGTGTCGATCGATTATGAAATAAATTTGATTATTGAATTGATCATTGAAAAACAAATTATTATTTTTTTTTTCAGTTTTTGGTTTTTGGCTAACTTAAAATTTTGCATTTTAGTTTTGATATAAAAAAATCATTTTGATGCATCTCTAAAAATATAAATGATGAGCCGCGTGCTGAAACACTCCTGCAATGTGTACGCGGGCCCTGCTGCATGATGGGAGTGACCTTTGACCTCCGAGACGGTGTTGCACCATATGGCAGCGGGAGGAGGGTGTTAACTGAATAACCGACACAATGTGTGTGTGTGTGTGTGATGCTCAGAAGAGACCCGAGGGACACGGAAACAAACGGTGGAGGGCAATTATTCTCACACTGAGCAAAAAAATGTGTCACAGTCACACACAATGGCAAGCAATTATATTCTGCATAAATCAAGCCTATTTTAGGACAATTAAGATTTTTTTTCTTTTGCATTCTGACATTTTTTTTTTTTCATGACAGTTTAAAACATCTCATCCCAAATTCTCTCATTACTGTAAATTCAAATGCTGATGCTAAATGTTTGCATGGTCTTGAAACATATGTTGAAATATGGTTTATCTTATCTTTATGATACAGTTTGGTTTGATTTTTGTTTGGTGACACATTTCATCCCAAGTTCTCATTACTGTAAATGTCAGATGATCTCTGGAACTGATAGATACTGATATATTATTTATAACTGTAAAATGGCTGGCAGTGTTTGTTGTGCTGCATTTCATTTTTTCCTGATTTAAATGATTTATTTATTTATTTTTTCAAATTAAAAAGATATTTCCTACTGTACTTTTTTGCATTACAATAATGACAATATGGGGGTAAATGTGCTTAATTGTCATGAAAATTATGTATGCTGAATGAACACAACAAAATAATTAAATATATTTCCCTAAAAATAAGCTTAATCTATATGTGTGCGGATTTGGGCTGAAATTCTCAGATAACACACAGAGTCCGTCTCTCTCTCTTTCTTATCATGTCTCAGACTTCATGAACATCTCTCTACTGATGAATGTATGTGTGTGTGTGTGTGTGTGTGTGTGTGTGTGTGTGTGTGTGTGTGTGTGTGTGTGTGTGTGTGTGTGTGTGTGTGTGTGTGTGTGTGATATCATATCAGACTGATTGTGAAACTGTAGATACACAAGCGGTTTCTAATGTCGACACACACACACACACCCGTCCCAGCAAAGCAAAGGATTCAGATAACCTCCACTGAACACACACACACACACACACACACACAAACGTCTCCTCATCATCACAGCTCAGGGCTCCTGAATGTTAAAGTAGCTGACTTATTTTCACCTTATACAAACACCGTCAGATGGCATTTATACTGTAACAATACCAAATTCAAATACCATAGTATTAATTAAATACAACTCCACTGTCCTTATGTGGTCCAATCAGATAGTAATAAAATGGTATTTTTGATATACCATAGTCATGAGTGTTTAACATATTTATTTACCATGTTACAAGGTATTTTTTTTTTTAAATACTATGTTACTACCCCTATACATGGCCAAATAAAACACAGTTTTATCATGGTACTACTTACCATACCTCTAATACAGTACACACTTACCATCAAGGTATACACTTATATACACCAAGGTACTACTAAGTGATTATAATGTATATGGTATTTCAAAGAATACCACTCTCCATTGGTTAGACTGTCATTATATGTACCAGTCAGCAGATAGTAATACCATGGTATTTATATATCTTAGTACTGACTGTATAACATATTAATATTATACCATGTTACTTCAAGGAATCTCAAAGAATACCATGATACTACCAGAATGCATGTACAAAACCCACATTATTACCATGGCACATACCCAGAAAACATGATTTTACTATAGTACATGTTTAGAAAACATTAATACCATGGTGTTTTTGATATATTACCATAGTACTGAATGTTTACCATATTCTTACACCAATGTACTTCAAAGAATACCCCTATACGTGGCCAAATACCACAGTATTAGCATGGTACATGTCCAGAAAACATTGGGATGTGTATCTGACCTGCAGTCTCCTGCGCCTGATTATTCCCGAATCATCCATGTCGTGTCCGTTAGAGATGCTGCTTTGGCTGCTATTGTGTGGATCAGAGGAGGCTCAATCCGCTCGGGTCCATCGAGACTTTGTTATCAGGACGCCACGCGTTTCGTGTTCATCGTTATCCAGCTCATATCGCGGGTCTGAGAGGCTGGAGGAGGGGAGGATTCACATTAACACTCGCATCCCGAAGAAGAGTCTAAACGTTGGACTGACTCACGACCGCACGCTCATGACGTCATAGAGGAACGTGCGCGAGATCAACACGAATCTCGCTGCGAGCGCGTCCGCTCCTTTTAACATCAGCATCAACATCTCTCTCTCTCTCTCTCTCTCTCTCTCTCTCTCTCTCTCTCTCTCTCTCTCTCTCTCTCTCTCTCTCTCTCTCTCTCTCTCTCTCAGTGTTGTTCATTCATATCATCCTCTCTATCTCTCGGGGATGTTAAAGGGATAGTTCACCCAAAAAAATGAAAATTCTGTCATTAATTACTACTCACTCTCATGTCGTTCCAAACCCAACAAAGCTAATCCATATTAATTTAGCGGTTTAAAGACTCGGTCACTTTATATGATGAACAGATTGAATGTAGGCTTTTATCACATATAAACATTCATCAACTCACACAGTTGTGGTAAACGGGAGCTTAAGGATTTTCGCTGTTCATTCTCATGTTACGCAGCACGTTTGAGCTTCTGCAAGAACCAATGAGGTTCATTCTCCTGTGCAGCACAGTGTTGGGAGTAACGCGTTACAAAAGTAATGCATTACAGTAACATATTACTTTTTGCTGTAACGCAGTAGTGTAAGGCATTACCAATCAATTTTCAGTAATATTTTACTCGGTACATGTTCAGTAACGCTTCCGTTACAACACACTTTTAGCCCAAAATTTTATTGTAAAAAAAAAAAAAAGCAAGACCACGAGACGAACGAATGAAAGATGCAAGTTATTACCTGTTCGTGGTCAGTCAAATAGACGCGTGTGGTGTCCAAGTTTGTAAATAAAGATGACTAAATGACAGCTTCTGATAAATTTGAATAGCGATTTATTTAATCTCCCTCTATGTGACATAGTCCAGTCCAGTGAAGGCGTGGGCGTGTTTTACAGGAGTGCCGCGACTCCCACGAGACATGATTTCGGCCTCTGTGCTCACGGACTCGCGCTGGCCAGTGGAAGAGTGGCTAATGGGTAAAGATGGCAGAAGACTGTACATTCGCGAGATGGACATATGCCCATTACTTTGAGTTTGTCTGCTATATTGTTAGTAGCCTGGATAGCCCACAATCATAATGCTACATCATATTGCCTTCTACTGGATGTAAAATGCTCTGTAGTAGGTTACATTTTGTCTTTTTATTTTTTATATTATAACTACATCTGTAGTTATTTTGGTGAAAGTAACTCAAAAGTAATACAGGAGTAATGTAACGCATTACAATTCTGAGACAGTAATATTGTAAGGTAATGAATTACTTTTAAGTAACAGTAACAAGTAATCTATAATGTATTACAGTTTGGAAGTAACTTGCACAACACTGGTGCAGCATGAGCTTCTGTAAGAACCAATGAGGTTCATTCTCGTGTTACGCAGGACGTTTGAGCTTCTGCAGGAACCAATGAGGTTCATTCTCGTGTTACGCATCACATTTGAGCTTCTGCAAGAACCAATGAGGTTCATTCTCGTGTTACGCATCACATTTGAGCTTCTGCAAGAACCAATGAGGTTCATTCTCGTGTTACGCAGAACATTTGAGCTTCTGCAAGAACCAATGAGGTTCATTCTCGTGTTACGCATCACATTTGAGCTTCTGCAAGAACCAATGAGGTTCATTCTCGTGTTACGCATCACATTTGAGCTTCTGCAAGAACCAATGAGGTTCATTCTCGTGTTACGCAGAACATTTGAGCTTCTGCAAGAACCAATGAGGTTCATTCTCGTGTTACGCATCACATTTGAGCTTCTGCAAGAACCAATGAGGTTCATTCTCGTGTTACGCATCACATTTGAGCTTCTGCAAGAACCAATGAGGTTCATTCTCGTGTTACGCATCACATTTGAGCTTCTGCAAGAACCAATGAGGTTCATTCTCGTGTTACGCAGAACATTTGAGCTTCTGTAAGAACCAATGAGGTTCATTCTCCTGTTACGCAGGACATTTGAGCTTCTGTAAGAACCAATGAGGTTCATTCTCGTGTTACGCAGGACGTTTGAGCTTCTGCAGGAACCAATGAGGTTCATTCTCGTGTTACGCATCACATTTGAGCTTCTGCAAGAACCAATGAGGTTCATTCTCGTGTTACGCATCACATTTGAGCTTTTGCAAGAACCAATGAGGTTCATTCTCGTGTTACGCATCACATTTGAGCTTCTGCAAGAACCAATGAGGTTCATTCTCGTGTTACGCATCACATTTGAGCTTCTGCAAGAACCAATGAGGTTCATTCTCATGTTACGCAGGACATTTGAGCTTCTGCAAGAACCAATGAGGTTCATTCTCGTGTTACGCATCACATTTGAGCTTCTGCAAGAACCAATGAGGTTCATTCTCGTGTTACGCATCACATTTGAGCTTCTGCAAGAACCAATGAGGTTCATTCTCGTGGTACGCATCACATTTGAGCTTCTGCAAGAACCAATGAGGTTCATTCTCGTGTTACGCAGAACATTTGAGCTTCAGCAAGAACCAATGAGGTTCATTCTCGTGTTACGCATCACATTTGAGCTTCTGCAAGAACCAATGAGGTTCATTCTCGTGTTACGCATCACATTTGAGCTTCTGCAAGAACCAATGAGGTTCATTCTCGTGTTACGCATCACATTTGAGCTTCTGCAAGAACCAATGAGGTTCATTCTCGTGTTACGCATCACATTTGAGCTTCTGCAAGAACCAGTGAGGTTCATTCTCGTGTTACGCATCACATTTGAGCTTCTGTAAGAACCAATGAGGTTCATTCTCGTGTTACGCATCACATTTGAGCTTCTGCAAGAACCAATGAGGTTCATTCTCGTGTTACGCAGAACATTTGAGCTTCAGCAAGAACCAATGAGGTTCATTCTCGTGTTACGCAGCACATTTGAGCTTCTGTAAGAACCAATGAGGTTCATTCTCGTGTTACGCATCACATTTGAGCTTCAGCAAGAACCAATGAGGTTCATTCTCGTGTTACGCAGCACATTTGAGCTTCTGCAAGAACCAATGAGGTTCATTCTCGTGTTACGCAGCACATTTGAGCTTCTGTAAGAACCAATGAGGTTCATTCTCGTGTTACGCAGCACATTTGAGCTTCTGCAGGAACCAATGAGGTTCATTCTCGTGTTACGCAGCACATTTGAGCTTCTGTAAGAACCAATGAGGTTCATTCTCGTGTTACGCATCACATTTGAGCTTCTGTAAGAACCAATGAGGTTCATTCTCGTGTTACGCAGCACATTTGAGCTTCTGCAAGAACCAATGAGGTTCATTCTCGTGTTACGCATCACATTTGAGCTTCTGCAAGAACCAATGAGGTTCATTCTCGTGTTACGCATCACATTTGAGCTTCTGCAAGAACCAATGAGGTTCATTCTCGTGTTACGCATCACATTTGAGCTTCTGCAAGAACCAATGAGGTTCATTCTCGTGTTACGCATCACATTTGAGCTTCTGCAAGAACCAATGAGGTTCATTCTCCTGTTACGCATCACATTTGAGCTTCTGTAAGAACCAATGAGGTTCATTCTCGTGTTACGCATCACATTTGAGCTTCTGCAAGAACCAATGAGGTTCATTCTCCTGTTACGCATCACATTTGAGCTTCTGCAAGAACCAATGAGGTTCATTCTCGTGTTACGCAGCACGTTTGAGCTTTAGCAAGAACCAATGAGGTTCATTCTCATGTTACGCAGGACGTTTGAGCTTCTGCAAGAACCAATGAGGTTCATTCTCGTGTTACGCATCACATTTGAGCTTCTGCAAGAACCAATGAGGTTCATTCTCGTGTTACGCAGAACATTTGAGCTTCTGCAAGAACCAATGAGGTTCATTCTCGTGTTACGCATCACATTTGAGCTTCTGCAAGAACCAATGAGGTTCATTCTCGTGTTACGCAGAACATTTGAGCTTCAGCAAGAACCAATGAGGTTCATTCTCGTGTTACGCATCACATTTGAGCTTCTGCAAGAACCAATGAGGTTCATTCTCGTGTTACGCATCACATTTGAGCTTCTGCAAGAACCAATGAGGTTCATTCTCGTGTTACGCATCACATTTGAGCTTCTGTAAGAACCGATGAGGTTCATTCTCATGTTACGCATCACATTTGAGCTTCTGCAAGAACCAATGAGGTTCATTCTCGTGTTACGCAGCACATTTGAGCTTCTGTAAGAACCAATGAGGTTCATTCTCGTGTTACGCATCACATTTGAGCTTCTGCAAGAACCAATGAGGTTCATTCTCGTGTTACGCATCACAATTGAGCTTCTGCAAGAACCAATGAGGTTCATTCTCGTGTTACGCAGCACATTTGAGCTTCTGCAAGAACCAATGAGGTTCATTCTCGTGTTACGCATCACATTTGAGCTTCTGCAAGAACCAATGAGGTTCATTCTCGTGTTACGCAGCACATTTGAGCTTCTGCAAGAACCAATGAGGTTCATTCTCGTGTTACGCATCACATTTGAGCTTCTGTAAGAACCAATGAGGTTCATTCTCATGTTACGCATCACATTTGAGCTTCTGCAAGAACCAATGAGGTTCATTCTCGTGTTACGCAGCACATTTGAGCTTCTGTAAGAACCAATGAGGTTCATTCTCGTGTTACGCAGCACATTTGAGCTTCTGTAAGAACCAATGAGGTTCATTCTCGTGTTACGCATCACATTTGAGCTTCTGTAAGAACCAATGAGGTTCATTCTCGTGTTACGCATCACATTTGAGCTTCTGCAAGAACCAATGAGGTTCATTCTCGTGTTACGCATCACAATTGAGCTTCTGCAAGAACCAATGAGGTTCATTCTCGTGTTACGCATCACATTTGAGCTTCTGCAAGAACCAATGAGGTTCATTCTCCTGTTACGCATCACATTTGAGCTTCTGCAAGAACCAATGAGGTTCATTCTCCTGTTACGCATCACATTTGAGCTTCTGCAAGAACCAATGAGGTTCATTCTCCTGTTA